TGGCAGACCTGCTCAACCATGCCAAGGACGTGGGTGGTACCTACGAGCTTGGCTGTGTTGGCACAGAGGATGTGTTAGGATGCCAGGAGGAAGCATGTGCCCACCTAGAGCATCCTTTGACCTGCCAGTCCTGGGATGTCTCCCCATGCCTCCTCTCTGCTTGGAAGGGGAAAGCAACAAGGAAAAGATGATCCCCTTCTCCAAAGCTGCAGGTTGGCTCCTTGCAGTGCCTGGTCCGTACCTCCTCTTCATGCATCTGTCTGTCTTCATACACTCTTGTTTGTTCCATCCTAAAAAAGCCTTTTCTTCTTCCTCAGAGGAAATCTCTCTGCACAAGGCAGTCTCAATGCTAAGCACAGCCCCGAGTCCCTGGCTGACCATGGGTCCAGCCAAGAGAGGCACGGAGATGCACGGCTGATCCAGGCTGACTTTGATGCTCCGTGAGGAGGGAGGATGCTTGGAGAGGCTGCGTCTCAGAGAGGAGCAGAGCTGGATCATCTCTGCAATTCAGGGCTCGGACAAGCCTTCTGTATCCCAGGCGGGTTCGGTGTTTGGTGAACGTGGTGAAGCTTCTGAGCTCCTCTGACTTCTCAGCATCTCTGAGTGATGTACCAGTGGTACCACTGGCCTGGGGCCGACTGTTACCATCTTCAGGAAGATGTTCCCAAAATGAGACGATTCAAAGAGTTCTCACACTTGAAACTCATATCTTTAAATAAAAGAAACACCAGAGACTTTTGCTTTCTCAAGAAACCTGCTCCATCTCCCCTGACCTCTATTGAGAATTTGTCAGTGACTCAAATTTCCACACCTTCCTGTGGCAGGGAATCCCCTCCCCTCTCCTTCTGGCTCTCTCTGCCAACCACCATGGCTCTGATGTCTCCTTGTCGTTCCACCAATTATCCTTCCTCCTGAAATTATTATCGTCATTTCTATTTAAGTAGGGCTTTCCCCCACCCAGCCCTTTTCAAAGCTCCCTGGGTTTGAGGTTTCCTTATTTGCCATCTTGCAGGGTGGATCAGCTGCAGCTGCTTAAATTATGGGGCTTCAATCTTGATCTATGTACTTCGGATGGAAAAAAAAAAAAAAAAAGGGGCTTTCCATCAGTTTTATGTTAAATCAGTGACCTTTATTAAAAGGGAGCTTGTTCTGTGAGTGACTCGTCTGGTTTTAAAGGCAGAAGAAAAGAAACATAAATGCCATGGTGAAGCAAGAAGACAAAATGAACTAATGGCTTGGGCAGCAGCTCACCCCTTGAAACATTCTCTGCCCAGTCTTGGAAAAGGAAGAAAATATGCTATTACTGGGGTTTTTTTTTCCACAAGCAGGGCTGTTTTGAGGCTGCTTGTGAGACCTAAGTCATAACCCAGAGCTCTGCGCGGGAGTCAGGATGTGGTATCAGGATGGAGATCTGCACCGAGACCTCGCAGAGGGCAGGAACTGCTGGGTTTCCTCCTCTTGTGCCCGTCTTGCTGTGTGAGGGGGTAGACAAAGGCTTTGTCTGTGGTTTCTACCACGTTAGACCAGGAAAACTAAGTTTGGATCAAGGTCCTCATTAAGGACCAGGCACAGTGCTAGAGCCAGGTTTCCATGGTGACCGTGGGATGCTGCGGATGGGTTTGGTACCTTGCTTGGGCTCCCCAGCCCTGAGAAACACTCTGTGAGTCACGGGGTGGAAGCATCTGTGAGTGCTGAAGAGGGCAGAGCACGTTTTCCAGCTCTTACCTTGCCCTTCAGCAACCCCAGAGAGGGGAAAAGAGGTGAGATGTTCCTGGCTGGTGCCTCTGAATGTGGTGTGGAGAGATGCAGCATCAAAGCTGCCCCGCACTTGACAAAGGTCCTTCCTTGCACCTTTGACTCTACCTCTGGATCCCTCCTGGAGTAGTCCCAGGATGGCAGCCTCCCCCCACCAAAAAAACTGCCTTTTTTGGAAACCAGCAATGGTACTTGTAGGGTGTAGGAGACTGGTGGTAGGCTGGAAGTCTGACAGGGCCATGGCATTTTAGGCACAGTTGCCTCCATCCCTCAGGAGGGGCAGAAGTGCATGGGCTGAGGAGGGATGGTGGATACAGAGGATCTGTCATGGGGGAGAGAGGCCAGAGCACCGTTCTGGATAGCTTCATCTGATTTCCCTGCCTTGCAAAACAAATTACTAGACCTGTTCTTGGAGAGCTGTACCTGTCTTTGAAGCGTCCGTGGTCTTTGTTTTATCATCCCAAACAGCATTAAATGCTTGTTGGGGAGGCATCTTATCAGGCGCATCTACTTGGAAAGGCTTGAAAGGCTCTTGTCACGCTCTTCTTCATGTGTGCTCTGAATTTATAGCTCCCCATTCCCTGGAGAAACCCACCGAGCTGGGACACTTATTAAAAAACGGAGATGATGCCCCAACCCTGAGCAGAGCTGATGTTCACGTAGCCGTTCCACCTGTGGCTCGGCTTGGTCCTGCCAAGGTGCCAGGAGCCAGACTGGGCACCAACTCGTGGGCAGGAGAGGCTGCTCTACAGGAGCTGGTTCCCTGGTGTGATACATACTGCTTAAGTTGCAGGAGGGGAGGGAAAGCCAAATCAGCACACAGGGTTAGTATTGGAGGCAGAAGCTGGTTTTCTTGGCTTCCAGGCTCAAAGCAGATCAACTGACCCGTGGTGCCTTGGGGTGAATGGTTGAGGCACCGTCCCTGGAGGTGTTTAAAAGGCGGGTTGATGTAGTGCTGGGAGGTATGGTTTAGTGATGATGCTCCTTGTTTGTTGTGTGGGTGTCTATTTTTGTCAGGTTGACGGTTGGACAAGATGATCTTTAAGGTCCCTTCCAACCTAGAAGATTCTGTGATTCTGTGAATCTCACTGCTCCGCTGTGTGTCAGCTTCTCCATGGTCAAACTGAGAAGATGGCTGGACCTGAGAGGGGATGGGGCTGTCACAGTCACCCCGGGTTGGCTCAGCATTGAACATTCTCCAGGGTCCCAGGGGTGGTTTCATCCTGGGTCAGCTGAGCCCGGTGAGGTGCAGGAGCAGCAACTGTCACACCAGCACTGCAGCACGGAGACCAGGATGCTCACACATGGCGTGGGGGCCAGCAGAAAGGTGACAGCCCTGGGTTTGGCCACGCTGGGGTTTCCGAGCCAGCCATGGGCATCGGGGAGCCGCGCAGCTGGTCCTCGGCAAACAGGGCTGTGCCCGTGGAGGGGCAGAAAGCCTTGGGCAAAGATGCTTTGCTGGTATAAAGGCTAGAGAAGAGCTTGGCTCCGAAACCACGGCAGGCTGCCGCTTCCCGCTGTCTGAGAGGCATTGCATCAAGTCATCCCCACGCACAAGGAAAGCCGAATGCTTTTGACAGCTAGCCATGCAGACTCCCCACGGACGCTGCAAGCCAAGCCGGCTTTCTCACCGTCTCCCACAGCCCCCCAGTTGTGAGCGTGAAACCAAGCTGGTGAATAATTCTGCTGATGCACGGAAGAGAAAATCCTGTTCTCTCCTCCTGGGGCAGGCTGGCAGGGCTAATGGGAGGAAGAGGCTGTGACAACTTGATTTTGTGGCTGAAGTCAGCAGATCTGGCTCCTGGGACACATGGGAACAGGCAGGGAGCAGGAGCCACTTTTGCACAGTCACTTCTCGGAGGCGAGCAGGGCTTCAAAGGAAAAAGACTTAGCAGGATGTTGCAACTTGGGAGGAGGAGGAAAAAAAAAAAAAGAAAAACACAAGCAAACAAAAAAAACCCACAAGCTCTGTAGGGCTGGGAAATGCAGAGTCAAGGAATGAGGTTTACAAAAAGCCTTCACTCGGTACTGGCATCTCCTGGTGCAGACGTGAGGCTGACACTGGCGATTCCTGGGGACGTTACAGCTCAGTGGCAGTTTTGCCCGTCCAGTGCAGGGACCTCCCTGCTCCACGGTGGGACGGGGCTCCACCGGTGGCCACGGGGAAGGAGGGAGTCTCAGCTGGGTGTGGGCAAGCACAGGCCCAGAGAGAGGATCTGGGATGTTCCAACAGCCTGACCGAGCTGTGAGGGTCTGTCTTAAAACCCCTCTGGGGCTGGGGCAGGAGGATGGGCCTGGGAGATGGGCAGGCACTCACGTGTGCAGGTCTTGGTGGTGCTGCATTACTGGGATGTGCATGATGAACCATCGTGCCCGTGTGCTCAGTGGGGAGATGCCAAGAGCTGGCGGGGTGATTGCCCCAAAAAGGGGCAGCTCCCCTTTCCCCCCAGTGCCGACACTGAGGTCCTTCTGCTGAGGACAGGGCGATGGAAAGTGGAGCACGTGGTCACCTCCACGCAGGGCCAGTCTTCTCCAGGTCAGCAGAGACCTCATGGCCATGTTCACGAGCCGGGCTGGAGGAAGAGGTGCCCAGCGCGTGCGGTCTCACCCAAGGGCTGGCTCCTGACCCTGTCCTCCCCACTTCAAGCCCTGCTTGAAGCCCAAGTGACAGGAAACCTGGCAGCTCCCAGGGGCCATCCTTGCCTGCTGGGGGCTGGGGCAGCTAAAAGCAGGCTCCGGGAGGGAAGTGGTTTGGAGGGCGATGTTTGTCGGTGATGAGCACACAGCCAGGCTGTGGGAGCCGTGTGGCAGCCGGCGCTGGCAGCCGAGCGCCTGTCCTGCTTGTTTTGGCTGACTTCAGAGACCTCTGGCTTTTCCTAGTAGCATTTGGATGTGCCGGTACTCAGGAGACCTGACCGGGCACATTCAGACAACGCCGAAAATATCTTCCTTGCAGGCAATAGAGGCAAAGGGGAGCCAGCAGCTGGGCTCCCCGAGAGACAGGGGACCGGGCTGCAGGGGGATGGTTGTTTTGCTCGGGCTCACTCTCTGCCAGCCAAAAACACATCCTGTGGAGCCACCACGGTGGCACATTTAAGGAGATCCCAGTTGGGCACCAGGTCTCTGGAGGGGATGTGAGGCTAGGTCTTCTCTGCTTTCTGTGGTGCAGGGTGTCCCAACTGAACATGGCTTCGTGCCCCCCACAACCCTTGTCTCCTAACGAGCTGTGCTGGCTGTCGCGGCAGGTACCTGGCGAAGCTGTCTTCAGTGGGGAGCATCTCGGAGGAGGAGACCTGTGAGAAGCTGAAGGGCTTGATCCAGCGCCAGGTGCAGATGTGCAAGAGGAACCTGGAGGTGATGGACTCGGTGCGGCGCGGAGCCCAGCTGGCCATCGAGGAGTGCCAGTACCAGTTCCGCAACCGCCGCTGGAACTGCTCCACGCTGGACACCCTGCCTGTCTTCGGCAAGGTGGTGACACAAGGTGAGCCAGGAGGACACGTGCCCGGGGTGCTGCTGTGCGGGGGAACGGCTGCTGCAGCAGTCTGGTGGGCGACAAGTGGGTTTCGCTTGCTTGCCCCTGAGCCAGTGGCTGGGGAGAGTAGGGAACAGCCCAGTGCTGGGTCCTTGGGCCGATGGCCGTTTCAGCAGAGCAATTCTGACTGTGTCAGGGCAGCACATCCAGACCCCTGCAGTTCCTCAGCTGCTGGGTGTTTCCTTTCCTGAACCTTTTTCCCACCCAGCGAGTGCCCGTCGCATGGAGGCACCAGCCCAGGTGAGCTGGTGAGCTCTGGACCTTCTACAAGGAGACGCCAGGGCCCTAAAATCCCCCTGTGGTCCATCCAGCCTCTGCCCCGCCGAGCCCAGGAGCCTCGCTGCCTGAAGCTGTGGCTGCAGCAGGATGCTGGATGCGTTGGGTCCCTTCTGCGGTGACCGCTGCCAGGCTGGCAGGGCGCTGGAGCGGAGCCGCCTGCGGCCAGGCCTGGGGAGGACAGCCCTCTGCCGCCCGAGGCGAGTAAAACACGGGCGGCCAGACCCTCCGAGGAGAGCAGCATCGCCCGCCACGGCCCAGCTGCCAGCCTTCAGGGGGGATTTACGGCCAGGGCAGCCCCCAGCCCCTCCGATCCCAGCTGCACGCAGGCGTCCCGGAGGCACAGGGCTGTGATCAAACCGTGCGAGGACCCAGAGCATCGGGGTGAGGAGACGGAGGGGAACGTCCCTCTGCAACCCCTCGAGACCACCGAAGCAGCCCTCGCCTCCCCTCGGGTGCCGCTGCCATCTCTGATGCACCATCTCGCATCCCATCCCCGGACCCATAGACCAAGTCATCCCCCGTCCCGCCCCCACCCTCCTCCAGCTCCTTGTTTGACTTTCCTCCCCTCAACGCAGGGGTGAAGATCCCTTCTTGTGAAGGTTCAGGGACTGGAAATACCAGAAATACCAGAAACTAAAAGTCGTCTCTTTTTAGGCAGCCACAGCACAAACCGACCAACACGATCCTACTATTAACCTCGATTAACTTGGAGGCGGTTCAGTCCCCGCGCTGGCCGGGTGCTCCCCAGCCGCTGCCGCCCGGGCCAGATTGCAGCTGGGCCACCAAAGTAGTTGCCCTCTGCCCGACCGGCAAGCCAGGGAGATGTCTGCTCGCAAGCCGTCCCCCCTTCTACCCCTGCCATGGGACTACCCCAAACGCCAGCCCTCCTTGTTTGGAGACGGAGGGGCCGTGTCCTCAACCGGCCTCGGAGCATGGTGGGGAGCTGGGTGTCGCAAGAGGTGATCCCTGGCCACGCTGCCCCGCGTGTTTCTGCCCAGGGATGTCCCCTGACTTCCCAAACAAGCTCTTCCTAACCCTGTAGACTCAAGAGCTGGGAAGGGGAGCAGCGTCGTTTTGTGAGGCGCTTTGGGGGTTTGCAGGGTGGTTTGGGAGGCGCTGGGAGCTACAGGGCCCCGTGTCAGAGGATCTGCAGCAGCAGGGGATATTCCTGGATGCGGAAAGCAGCCAATTATTTCGGGTGCAGGAGGGATTTCATGGCAGAGGTGCCCTGCAAGCACCAGGCATGACACTCTCCATACAAGCCCTGGAGAGCTCTCCCCACGAGAGCATCTCTCTCACTGCCGGGCTCTCATTGCCCACCGCATTCATGTTTTTAACCTTGTGGGGCAGCTCCTGGCTCCTTCACTATTGCAAGACAGGGCTCTCACTGCTGCAAACCCTCTCCCAGCACCGAGGTGTCTCTGCTGAGACTGGTCCAGGCTTGGCACTGAGCAGAGACCATCCCCGAGCGTGAGGAGGATGAGTGTCCTGCGTGGGGAACTGCATCCTGGGAGGAAGGGATGGAGCAAAGGGCTTGAGTTGACAGCTCCGTGCAGCGTGTTTTGCCAAGAGCCAGTTTTCAGACCAGCTTTTCAAGGGGGTTTATGTGCAACCACCAGCGTTAGGAGGAAAGAGGAGCAGGGACACAGGCAACAGCCCACCAAGGGCCTTCCAGAAAGCCCTCCCAGGCACCCCAGACTTGCTGCCCCGTTTCCCACCATGGTTTGTGCTGTTGCAGGGACGCGGGAGGCAGCGTTCGTCTACGCCATCTCTTCGGCGGGGGTGGCCTTCGCGGTGACCCGAGCCTGCAGCAGCGGCGAGCTGGACAAGTGTGGATGCGACCGCACGGTGCAGGGGGGCAGCCCGCAGGGTGAGTGGGGATGAGAAATGGGACAAGCAGGGAAATGCCCATTCTAGAGCCTGTATGGAGGAGGAAAAAGCTTTTTTTTTAAAAAAAAAAAAGGCAAAAAAACCCCTCCTGTTAGTCCACATGAGTCCCTTAAAAAGGCATCTGGGAGCCTTGTCCATGGGGCAGAGACAGCACCTTGTCCATGCCCCCCGGCCCAGGGCCACACTCCCCAGCTCCCCCAATCCCTTGGGCAGCCCAGCCTCGTGGGCAGCAGGACAGAAGCGGGGGAAGAAAGCTGTATTTTAGCAAGAGCAGGGCTGGGTGCCGTCTCTCTCATCCCTGCTCTCTGCCCTAGGCTTCCAGTGGTCGGGCTGCTCCGATAACATCGCCTACGGCGTGGCCTTCTCACAGTCCTTTGTTGACGTCCGCGAGAGGAGCAAAGGAGCTTCTTCCAACAGAGCGTTAATGAACCTCCACAACAACGAGGCAGGGAGGAAGGTAATGGTGAGGGGAACACGTGGGCAGTGGTTGCAGTTCTGTGATTGCTCAATGCCTTTTTGGCTTCGTTTCATCCCATCGGCTCACATACCTGAGCGCTGCTTTCTGCACAACTCCTCCAGAACCCCTGCATCATGCCAGTCTTGCTGTTTCCATCCCGAGGTCACGGTTCCCCTCTCATGGAATGACACAGTCATGGAATTGTTGGAGTTGGAAGGGACCTCTAGGGATCATCCAGTCCAACCCCCTGCCAAAGCAGGGCTGCCCAGGGCACATCACTCAGGAGCATCCAGGCGGGGCTTGAAGATCTCCAGAGAAGGGGACTCCACACCCTCCCTGGGCAGCCTCTGCCAGGGCTCTGCCACCCTCACCCAAAAGAAGTTCTTCCTCAGATTTCAGTGGAACTTCCCATGGTCCAGCTTGTGCCCGTTGCCCCTCGTCCTGTCACTGGGAACCACTGGAAAGAGTCCGGCTCCATCCTCCCTCAACCCACCCTTTAGACACTTGTCAGCATGAAGAAGGTCTCCCCTCAGCCTTCTCTTCTCCAGGCTCAAGAGCCCCAGCTCTCTCAGCCTTTCCTCAGCAGGGAGATGCTCCAATCCCTCCAGCATCTCTGTTGCCCTACGCTGGACTCTCTCCAGCAGTTCCCTGTCTCTCTTGAACTGGAGAGCCCAGCACTGGAGGCAGGATTCCAGTTGTGGCCTCCCCAGTGCAGAGCAGAGGGGGAGAATGACCTCCCTCCACCTCCTGGCCACACTCTGCCCTACGCAGCCCAGGATCCCATTGGCCTCTTGGCCACAAAGGCACATTGCTGGCTTATGGAGAGTTTACTGTCCGCCAGGACCCTCAGATCCTTCTCCTCAGAAGTGCATTTCTCGTTCTTCTCTCATTTCTCATGTCTGTTCCTCCAGGCAATCCTCAACAACATGCGGGTGGAGTGCAAGTGCCACGGCGTCTCTGGCTCCTGCGAGTTCAAGACGTGCTGGAAGGCCATGCCCCCCTTCCGCAAAGTGGGCAACGTCCTGAAGGAGAAATTTGACGGTGCCACCGAGGTGGAGCAGAGCGAGATTGGCTCCACCAAAGTGCTGGTGCCCAAAAACTCCCAGTTCAAGCCGCACACAGACGAGGACCTCGTCTACCTGGACTCCAGTCCCGACTTCTGTGACCACGACCTCAAGAACGGGGTGCTGGGCACCAGCGGCCGGCAGTGCAACAAGACCTCCAAGGCCATCGACGGCTGCGAGTTGATGTGCTGCGGCCGGGGCTTTCACACGGACGAGGTGGAGGTTGTGGAGAGGTGCAGCTGCAAATTCCACTGGTGCTGCTCCGTCAAGTGCAAACCCTGCCATCGGGTGGTGGAAATCCACACGTGCCGGTGATGCACGGAGGGGAGCTCCCCTCCGTCCCCCCTCTAAACTGACCCTGCTTCTCCCTTGCCCCACGGCCAGGACTGAGGAAGGAACCCAGACGCTGCAGGGAGAGCACAGCCCTTTACAGAGACAGAGCCCCAGAGGAAAACAGATTTTAAAGAAAAAAAATATTTAAAGTTTAAAAAAAAAAAATTGATCATTGTTGGCTTTTTTGGGGGGTTGTTTTGTTTTCTTTGCTCACTTTATTTATTGCTGCAGCCAGAGCCCCTCGGTGTCCTCCTGTGCCAGTGGGGACGTGTCTGCTCTGGGGCTGGCTGGGGACCTGCGTGATGCCTGCGCTCATCACACAAGCTCCTGCCGACGCCGCAGCAGCACAAACAGGAGGTGTTTAAGCGTTAGGCGCTCACTATCTTCTATTGCGATTATTTTTGTTTGTTTAAGACGTGTGCTGAGCATCCTGGAGCACTGCTTGGCCCAGCTGAGCCCTGGGAGGTGATGGAGCACAGCCAGCGTGTGCAGCCAAGGTGCCCTGCAGAGGACGGGCAGATGGTGACGGGGTGGCTGTGTCCCCGGGAGTTAAGCTCAAAGCATGGAGAGCCCTTCCAGGGCCATTAGTGTATGAAGGGTGTGGTGTTCCCCAGGGCTCAGTGTTGGGACCATTTCTGTTAAACATCTTCATTGATGATCTTGGTAAGGACACAGAGTGTATCATCAGTAAGTTCGCAGATGACACCAAGTTACGTGGGAGCGTTGGTCTGCATGAGGATAGAGAGGCTCTACAGAGAGACATGGATAGGTTGGATGGATGGGCCAACATTAATGGTGTGAGCTTCAACAAGGCCAAGTGCCAGGGCCTGCACTTGGGCCACACCAACCCCCTGCATCGGTACAGGCTTGGGGAAGTGTGGCTGGAGCTGCCTGGAGGAAAGAGACCTGGGGGTTCTAATTGACAAGCGGCTGAATACGAGCCAGCAGTGTGCCCAGGGGGGCAAGAAAGCCAATGGCATCCTGGCTTGGATTAGAAATAGCGTGGCCAGCAGAAGTAGGGAGGTGATTTTCCCCCTGTACTCAGCACTGGGGAGGCCACACCTGGAGTGTTGTGTCCAGTTTTGGGCACCTCAACACAAGAGAGATATCAAGGTGCTGGAGCGAGTACAGAGGAGGACAACAAAGCTGGGGAAGGGCCTGGAGAATAAATCTTATGAAAAGTGATTGAAGGAGCTGGGACTGTTTAGTTGGAGGAAGAGGAGGCTGAGGGGAGACCTCATCACTCTCTACAACTACTTGAAAGGACGTTGTAGAGAGTTTGGTGCTAGTCTCTTCTCCCAGGTAATTAATGACAGAACAAGAGGGAATGGCTTCAAGCTGCAACAGGGGAGGTTTAGACTGGACATTAGGAAAGAGCTTTTCACAGAAAAAGTGGTCAGAGACTGGAATAGGCTGCCCAGGGAGGTGGTTGAGTCACCATCCCTGAGTGTGTTTAAGAGTCGTTTAGATGTGGTGTTGGGGGATATGGTGTAGGGGAGAACTTTGTAGAGTAGGATAGATGGTTGGACTCGATGATCCCAAGGGTCTTTTCCAACCTAAATGATTCTATGATTTTAAGGGGACGTGGGACACTCTTGCATCCCCTCGTTGTGTGATGTTTGATGGCCTGGGCACTGGAGGGATTTTGGAGCAGCTCCAGCAGCCACTCTGATTTACTGAAGCTCCTCAGTGGCTTCCCAGGGCTGCTGGAGGACATCACCTTCCCACCATTCTCTTCTTCCCCTTGCAAGCCCCCTTCCCCCTTCACTTCTCCAGCATCTTGTTCAACAGGAGACCATGAAGTGGATTCAGGGAGGCCATGGTACCTGCAATCCAATGGCTCTTAATGGAGTTGGGAGCTGATGGGAAGAAATACCAGGGGTTTTCTTTTACTCTGCCCCATAATTGCCCCCACCTTGCTCACCAGCATCCCACAACCAGGTCTCTTCTTCCTCCACGTGCCTGTTCTCCACACCCAGTGTGGGCTCTGGAGACAGTCCCCCTCCCATTGACTGCTGAGAACAGCAAAATTATAAAGTGGAGTCATTAGTGGGGGGGATGCTGCTGGGGGGGGAAAGGCAATGTTTGTGCTCTGCGCACCTTGCTCACCAGCATCCCACAACTAGGTCTCTTCTTCTTCCACGTGCCTGTTCTCCACACCCAGTGTGGGCTCTGGAGACAGTCCCCCTCCCATTGACTGCTGAGAACAGCAAAATTATAAAGTGGAGTCATTAGTGGGGGGGGTGGGCGGAAGATGCTGCTGGGAGGGGAAAGGCAATGTTTGTGCTCTGCAGGTACCCTCAGGTGGCAGGAGAGGAGGGCTGAGCCTGAGCCTTGCCCCAGACACCAGGATTTAGTGTCCCCGCTGCCCTGTCCTGCTCCCCACGGGCCGGCCCGGAGCGGTGCCACGGGGACAACGTGCTGTCCCACCGCCCTGGCCTCCCTCCACCCGCCACCAGGTTAGCGCGGAGCCCTCGCTGCCGGGCTGCCGGACGGAATATTTGGAGAACTAATAAGCAGAGGGGCACTGCGAGGGGAGGAGGAAAGCAAAGCGGTTCCTCTCTCCCTCACCCACTTGTCTGCAAGTCGAGAGGCAAAAGGGGAGCGGAGAAAAACCTCGACGTGGCACCTCACAGCAGGAACATCTGCCCGTGGTGAAATGGGGAACCCTCCTCCGCAAGCTGGGAGCTCTCTCCGTGGCGCAGAAAAGCCCGTCACGGTCACCGTCACCCTGGGTCCTTGCAAACCTGCAGCCTTGTTTTTCTTCCTTGCTTCATCCTGAGAGGGGAAAGGCTGGGGGGAGGCGCAGACGTACGTTAAATCCCGTCTGGGCTGTGGCAGTGATGGGCTGGGGGAGAGTCTGTGGTCCCTGGAAGGTCTCCAGACACCATCCGGCTGGAAGGCTGCTGACAACTGACTCGAAGCAGTGCAGGGCAAGGGGGGGGGGGGGGCCCCCCCCCCCCCCCCGGCTGCCTCCCTCCTGCCTGCCTGGCCCCAGCTCCAAAAAACCTCCAGCAACGGGTGCCAGGTGGTGGGGGTGGGGGTAGCACCCAGGGGAGACCCCCAGGCGGAGCCACCATGGGTTGATCCGCCTCAATGCAAACCAGAGGTTCTCCTCACCAGAGCGGGGGTTGCCTCTCTCCATGGCGGGTTGGCCAAGGCTGAAGTATTAAATCCTCAGGGGGCACTAAGCTTCACCCCCTCCCCGGCTCCATCTCTTCAGCCCCCTCCAAGGCTGCAAGTTCTTAAGTATCTTGGAGGCTGTTCCTCCTCTTCCCAGCTCATGCAGAGGAGGCCACAGACCTCAGGCCACTGGCCAAGTTTTCTGCTCGCTGTCCATCTAGGATGAGGGCCAAAGCTGAACAAGACAATCCAGATCAGTGTGGAGATAATCTCAGCACACGGGATCTTTTCAAACTGTGATGAAAACTGAGCCCTGTAAATGTCACCCAGAGATACCCCGGCTCCGCAGCGCTCTGGCTCTTCTCACATCTGTAAATTTCAGCACCAGAGCTGGAGCGGGGAGTGGAATAATGTCTTTTTTTTTCGTATTTGCTTTGTCTATTAAATAATGAGTTTGTGCTGATGAGCCATGGGGTTTCTCCAAATTGGGCTCCACTGGGCTGTATTAAACCAGCACGTGCTGCAAACACCTAATGGTTGTTATCTCCTCCCAGGAGCCCATGGCTGGGAGGAGGTGCCCACATGCTTCTAAAGTAAAGGGGACACTAAGGCTGCTCTTGTCCCTCCTCCTGTATCATCTCGGGAGATGCTGGTGTCTGGAGCACAGGCTGCGTCCCTGCTTTCCCATCGGTGGAAGGAGAGCTTGCTCGCTAAGCTTCTGCCTTAACCACTTGACACACCGCTGGCTTAAGAGGCCACTTATCTTAGATTTCAGAAAGCCCGTGACTTCCTCCTGCCGAGAGGGCGCTGATATCCATCTGCTCACAGCAGCGCTCTCCTCCCCTCCCCTGCCCGCGGCCGCGGCCTGTGCTGCTGGAAACATCTCACCGGGGGTCTTGGGGTGCATTTGGGCTGGGAGGAGGCAAGAACTGGCCACAAATGCAGAGTCAGGGACCTGCCCCCTCTTCACAGAATCACAGAATCACATGGGGTTGGAAGGGACCTCTGGAGATCATCTAGTCCAACCCCCTGCCAAAGCAGGGCCACCCAGAGCAGGTCCCACAGGAACATATCCAAGTAGATTTTGAATGTCTCCAGAGAAGGAGACTCCATCACCTCTCTGGGCAGCCTCTTCCAGGGCTCTACCACTCTCAAAGGAAAGAAGTTCCTCCTCATGTTTAGATGGAACTTCTTACGTTCAAATTTGTGCCTGTTCCCTCTTGTCCTGTCCCTGGGCACCACTGGAAAAAGCCTGGCCCCATCCTCCTGACACCCACCCTTGAAGTATTTATAGGTGTTGATCAGATCCCCCCTCAGCCTTCTCTTCTCCAGACTAAACAGACCCAAGTCCCTCAGCCTTTTCTCATAAGATAAATGCTCCAGGTCCCTCATCATCTTTGTAGCCCCCATCCCTGTGCTGTGGGGTGCTGGATTTGGGGGTGATGTGGTGCCAGATGCTGGGCACAGCCCAAGCTGCATTTCACTTGTCCCTTGTCCTTCCACAAGTCTGGGCCACTCAGCCTCATCCCTTTGATGCTGTGCCCCACAGTCTGGAGCTGCTGGCTTCAGCACGGGCTGCTGTTGGGTCCCACTGCACTAACGCCAGTAGTTGTAGAGCTCCATTTTTGTGTTCTCTGAGCTCACCCTTCCACAGGCTTCATGGTAAAACCAATGGCTTCTCTCACTTTGGCCTCTGTGGGTGGCAGGGATTGCAGGCTACCTTTTTTAATTTAATCATTATTGCAGAAATAGGATGGGAGAAAACAAGTCCTGAGCCTCCCCAAAACCCTTCCTTCAAATGGCTCCTCTCTTCCCATGGTGGATCCCACTCCAAAACCTCCCAGCTCCATCCCTTCCCCTCCCCACTCAGCCCCAGGTGAGGCACTAACAGAGACACCACCTCCCAGCATGGTGGTGAAACAAAGATGTGCTTCATCCCCATGCTGAAACAAGGTACAGAGAGATGCCACCTTCTCTGCAGCTGCAGACAGAGCATGCCTTTCTCCTCCAGTGCCCCCACTTGCTCAGCCTG